AATTGAAGCTTTAACAACATCGCCTAACATCATATAAATTCAGTCTTTTTAGAACAACTCGATGAACCTTTTTGTGAAAGATCAAGGAGCAATACAAATGTTGGGACATCTAATTGGCTTTGACTACATCCATTAATTCGCCATTAGCGCAGATGTTGCCACATCAGCATACTCTTCTTAGCATTGACAGCAATAGCCTTAGTGCTCGCTTTGACTAGTCTAAAAGGTATTGAACCACTATGGATTCATGTCTTTACTTAGGAGCAACGTGTCTTTTCCGGAACACTGCCCCAATTATGTGTGTATACAAAGGTCCCGCAATTCTCTTGCCATCAACGGAAGACAAAAAATTTCCTATTTGGATTTACTGCTTTTACTTCTAATCGAAAATAAATCTCTCCTATGGTTTCACTAATGGCCGAAGTCATCTCAAGACATGTCTTCAAATGATTTTAGGTAATTTTTTGTCCGTATTAAAGTTAGGATGCTGAAAGGACAGCGATGACTTCAGGAGACATCAAATGCGTGTGCAATTTTAGGCTCATCTATGTAAAACAAATTTCAAAGTTGCGCCCAGAAAAGCACTCTATGAATTTTGTCTCTTCTGCATTTGGTTCCGCTTCGAAGCTTATCTTGTCACTTATATAACACATTGATGACAGCAGCCGAATTTGTTTTCCGTTGCGTGAGACCCATCGTTTTCTTTATTATCAAACCCTCTAATTTACCTAGGATCTAGCTTAGAGGGATATTTGATATGTTTATTATTAACTTGACCATTCTCTGAAACGGTTAGAAATGATTGCCGCAAAACTCGATGTAACATTCTTAAAACAGATTTGGTAATGTTTGTCCGTGCGCTAAGCGAGAATTATGTCCATATTTTTGTATACGATACAAATAATCGCTACAGTGAGTGGATGGAAAAAACACTTTGCACTACGCTTAAGATTAAACGAAGTCAAAGTAAGATTTCTGTATGTCCCTCATACATTTGTGGTAGATGGAATGCCTTAAGTAATTTAAAATCTTTATGATAAAAAAGGGTAACTCTCATTTGGGGACGCTAGCTTTTGCTTGCTATTGCTTGAAAGTTTTCTAATACTTCTTACCACGCTCTAGCACTATCCTTATTAGGACAAACGGCAAAAAGTGATACCGAATGGAACACAAGAAAAATCATTTTTAATCCTATCCATATGTCGCATTGCGTAACTGAAAAGCTAGTACAAAATTCCCGCCAGATTTCTCGGAATAAACGAACGAATCTTTTTTTTCTTCACATTTTCCCGCCTACGCAGGGTCTGCTGTGCGAGTATACTTTATTGGACGTTTAATCATGTTGATGACGTGGTGTTTCTCAACCGACTTGTCGCCGCACCCTGAAGGTAAGCCTGACGCTGGAATTGCAGGCAAGAGTTATGTCCCAAAAGGGAATCGAACCCGTGACCTCACCGAAAATCGTGGGAAGAGCACTAACTACCCGGCTAACTCTACCCAACGAACGAATCTTGTTTCGCTTTATCTTTTCTTCTGACCTTAAATCCTCAAGTGTAGGCGTTAGGTAAGTGTACACTTGGCAATGCCACAATACACAATAATAAATATTGAGTTAGAAAAAACAATTTACCAACTTTTCGGGCTATTTACAAACTTTTAATTAGATTGTTTTTCTATGTTATATAATAGGTCGGAGAATTTAGCAACACTTGAAGGTTCTACTCAGTTTCAAGTTACTGACACGAAGAAAAAAAACGGTTTTAAAAAAATTATAATGAAGGAAAGTGAAACTATGCTTGGTAAGCGCAAGATTGCACATGAGTAAGGTCAAAAGGTCTCACATATCAGAGTTTGAGAGGGGACTAAGTCCTAGAACCTCCAGTTTGTATTTTTTGAAAATAAGTTAAGGAAAGAATAATGGAGTAAATGTTGAAATAAAGGGAAGTAGGCAGCAAAAATTAAGTATATTGTCTTCCATAATAGATATATGATGCGTAACATCACACGACTAAATTTTGGTGATTTTGCGTTGGGGATTTCGGCTGAAAACCTTCAGATACATGTTGTCCTCACTTGAACAAAAAAAAACTAATCGGGGCAATTTGCTGCAGAAAGAGGGCAACATCAATTGAGCTTTTCTTTCCTACGTGGCGGCGTTTGGAGCGATTTTTCAGACTGTTTCTACATTCAAACGCTATAATCAACGATGTTTGCAGCATTACAATCAAGCAATTATCACTCATTTTTCACACCAATTCTCTTGAGTCTCTCGAAGCACTGTATTTTTATTTGACTTTGATTTAGATGTAGTTTAAGAGATGATTGCAACTGAATTAATAACGTGTTAACAGTCAAACTTGGCATCAGCAGTCTCACTCTACAATGAAACAATTTGAAATAATCACAAAGAGGGTCAATCATAATACCCATTTCCTGATAATGTAGCATAATTCTCCTATG